AATTTGATTAAAAAATCTCAATCTAAGCTTTTAGATTTGAAATGAAGTATGAATTCCTCTCCCTTAATTATATCAAAACAACTTTTCTAACCCTGCATCTTTGCAAATTGAAACTTTTTGTTTTATATAATTAACATTGCTAACTCGCAACACTTAACGTAATAATTGTGCTCCCACTAGCATAATAATTACATTCTTATTAACATAACACTTATGCTCCCACTAGCTTTGATATGTACTCAAAAATCAGCTGGGTTTCTAAAAATCAATACTTATTAACTTTCTTACAAAAGTTCAGATTTCTGATACGAGATGCTTCGATAAGACTTTACTAGGCTTCTCAAACTCATACACCTTTCCTTAGATAGCTCATATGTGTGTCTAAACAATTTTAGAACTTACAAACATAAGTCTGAAATGTTTAGACCTTTTGCCATTTCTCACAATTCGAACTATGAAGAGGGATGACGTAATCATAATCGAATTTGAGAATGCAAATAACAGAATTGCTATCTCCTTAAAATCTACTTAGTGAAAGCATTTCCTCACAATCATTTTCATGAATTGGAGAGAAACCTTATGACACTTAGATTTTTATGGTGTACGTGTTCCTATCCATGTGAATTTGTCAAAACCATAATCACAAGACAAGGTTAGTGACAAATCCAAACTCATAGGCACTGAACTTGTTCATTCTTAATTTCTTGCCACCTGGCAGCATAAGGGCCTACCATTTCTTCCAAGTAGTTATGAAAACAACTGAGAACTCATAGAACTCACATGCATAGTCAACTTTAACTGGAATGGGCACAGAACCAAGAATATGTCAACACGATAGGTTACAAACCTCAAGTCGTGTGCTGGTGATAGGTTTACTCTTGATCAGTTCTTGAAACTTTTCAAGATCTTTAAGACTCCCACTGACCTCTTGACATATAAGTTTCTCAAGAGACATTACTTGACAAATAAATATTCAAGAGTTAGTACGGTTTCTTATCTAGAAATACACTTCACACAATTGGTCTTAGTTGGTCTTTGTTTTATCCAAAACATCACAACTTACCAATTTCAGATGTACAAGAGTAAGAAACTTTTTACTCTACATTTGATAAGTGTTATAAACCTTTCTTAAGATTATGTCACTCACGGCACAATCTTGGAAAATGACTCTAAGACTCGATTTGGAACGAAGTATGATTCACCTTTTTGATTTAACTATTTTAACAATTCACGATTCCTCTTCTTAGTGTCACACCCCCAAACCAGACGGCGGAAACATCCGGGGGTGGATGACTTCATTTGTAGTATCATAACACATGCATCATAGTAATCAAAGTATAAACAACCATTGTATTTAAAAAGTATAAGTATTTACATGTGTTCAATCACTGTATATTGATACCAAAATAGTTATACAAAAGAAGATGACATGACTCAAAACAGCTCCATCTTCTCAAAAGCTCGGGGAGTACCTGTCTACTGTTTCCATGAGAATACAAGTAATTTGAAAAGAGAGTATCTACATAAAGTTGAGTGAGTGCATAAATATTTATTTTTGAAAGTATGTTTTCTGTTCTATGAATTTGTAAACTGTTCCAGAAAATCCTATATTTTCTTATGTATATGAAAAGTAGTTTTAATCACATAAAATCGTTCTATATGTAAACCAATGTTCTGTATTTGTAATCCTTTTTGTAAAACCTGTAACTGTGAGTGTGCCTGGTTCCACCAGCTGTTGTTGTAAACTGTAATGTACTACTGTAGTTTGTATTTTGTAAGCTTGTACTTTGAAGATGTACTTACGTTTAGTTAATTATACACTAACGTATTGTTAATATCTTTTTAATGAGTTATTATAACCATACTGAGACTAGATGGCCTGACCCAACGCTTTGAAGGCGTTGAAAACTGTTGATAACAACTATCACTCGTAGGCGTGTATGCCCGGCTGTATCTAGCAGCACTACTAGAAAAACAGCCTTTTACGACGCGCAATGCGTGTCGTAAAACACTCAGACGATGCGCAAATGTGTGTCAAGGAAGGCCCTGTCATAACGAGAGACGACACGCTTTTGCGCGTCGTCTATTTACGACGCGCAGTTATGACACACATTTACGACGCGCAGTTATGACACGCAATGCGTATCAAGGAGTGCCCTGTCATAATGGAAGACGACACACATTTGCGTGTCGTAACCTTACGAAGCACGTGTTTATGACACACAATGCGTATCAAGGATGCCCCTGTCATAAATGAAGACGACACGCATTTTTGCATGTCATAATTTTAAATGTTTTTAAAATTATATATTTTTGATAGACTCACTAATTTTCAAATTAAATAACACATATTAAAATTCTCATAATACAAAATAAAATACCATAAACAATAAAGATAATTCATTGCATTAATATGTCAAATACAAATAATCATTTCAATATTAAGTAAATATGGCTAATATTGCATAATATTTATTATAGAAAACAAAACATGTACAACATTAAAAGAAACCCATGACTAAATATGTATTGCTTGAATTATGTTATACTAAATCAATATGAACTTTTTGCTGATGAGAATGCTTTTGGCAAAAAGACTTCAGTCTTGGAGGTCTTGCTTTTCCTTTCTTAATAGATAGCCCCTCCATCTCAGCTTCAAAGCTATCGATTTGAGATTCTAACTCAGACACCTAACCAATAATAAGCATTGTCATATATAATGTCTAAATGATGATCCACATATGTAAATAATAAAACAAAGGGAGGCCTTTAAAGTACTAGTATAATGCTATAAAGGCAGTAGTATAATGTAGTGTTATACCGTATTGTTCAACCAATCTCTAGTCTCTGACTTGGCTTTCTCCTTTGGATCCTACAAAATATCATCAACAAAGAAACTTCACTATACAGTGACTGAAGGTTATTTCCATGTATCATATGCAAAAAAAAGCAAAGCAATAGATACAGTTTTAGGCTGTTGTCCTAGGCCTTCTTTGGAGAAAGCTTTTGTCTTTGTCTCCTTTTCACAAATCTTAAACCGTTCCATTTCTCACTCAATAAGCTTGCGGGCATCCATCAGATCCTGCTCATAAGAGGCACTAACCTACGTCAACACATATCAGAAAGAAGAACCAGATGTAAACAAAGAAGTAGATGAAACAAGATATAGGCATCTAATTCTTAGCATAGAAGCTAAAACCAGATTAAATTTGAGATAGTGTGGCAGCAATAACAGAAAGTCTAAGTGCCAACAGATAATGACCAATGGAAGATAGCATATGTATGTGAACCAGAGAACACAACAAGCAAGTAAGCAACTTGTTTTAATCTGGTCTCGCTGGACTGTATCCATGTCTTAATATGGTATCTGTACCTCTGAAGTTTCTTAATCTCCTTCTTCAAGTTGGCCTCAAACTTCTCCTTCTGATTGGCATTGTCAGTATCGTATATCTAAAATACGAGATTCAACACGAGAACATGAAACTTCAGCATTCAGATTACACAAAAACCAATAACGTCAATAATTCAAAGAAAATTAAAAACATTTACGCATGCCTTGTTCCATATGGAAGATCATGAATGTGCATAGCATAACAAACTTAAATAAGTTTCTTAAATCATATACAAAATATATTTTACATGAATTTTATAGAATAATTTGTTAACCCAAAAAAAATGATCTATGCATTATTTCTACGAGTAGTACAATACAACACAGCAAAGTATACACAGTTTTTTTTTTTACTATTTTGCCCCTGAGGCCTTGACAGTTCAATGTTGTTGTCATGTTCATCGTTTAGGATTGGTGAATGGTGACGTACCTGGTCTTAACAACTTATTGAACAATTTGTTTTACCAAATTGCCCCTTGTTACATATTGCTATTAATATTGTCGGTAATGACAAATTTTTTGACCAAATTGCCCCTTGTTACATAAAAGGAATATTCACAACTTCCAAAGAACGTATAAAATACTCACAAGCACGTTCATATGCATGCCAAGGTGGAAGCATGCTTAAAAATTTGTCCCCGGGCCCCGCAGGGACAATGTCCCACAAATTATTAACCTAAGAAAGTATAAAAACATAATAATATCTTAAAAAACATGAAAATCTGATCAACTGAAAGGGGCAAAAGAGACATTTGTAGTACCTGATGCAAAAGATTACTATGTGTAAGAATTACTCCTTTTGGATTCCCAGTGGTCCCACTTGTGTATATAAGAGCAGCCACATCATCAGACTTGATGGGTTCATAAACATACTTTTCAACCTAAAGATTCATATAGTCGGTCTAGAGGCACCAAAATATGTTATGGAGTATGGAAAGAAAACTAGGATTCCAATTCCACTGGAATTAGTAACACCCTAAAACTTTACATTCTATCTAACAGATGATCTGGGTCCTCTCACAACGTTTATTGCTCCTGTAGCCATAATACCTACACCCAAACTTGCTACCTTTACTCTATAATTTTAAATTAAAATTAAACATAATCATACGTATCGTTTGTAGTCTCATGAATTCAATGTATTTACCTTGATCAGCAACAAGACATCTGCATGAATTGTCAGCAAAGAGTGCAACTTTTTCACATGGTTTGATTCCAATAACTCTTAAACCTTCAGAGAAATTCAAAATATCCCCTTCTACCTACAAATAAGGTTCAAATTAAACTGATTAGAGTTTTTATTATTGAATTACATTTCATTTCCTGCCAGCTAAATGCGTGAAATTTTTTCATTTTTAAAGATTAAAAGGGAAGACCTAGTTGTATGTCATATTTGTAGGTGGGTCATGATGTGGACCCACCAATCCAACCCGATCACCAAATCTTTCTGCTGAAGATCTCCAAATATCAGGAATTGCCTTCAATTGAAGCCTCTTCATATCTAATCAGTCAAATTAGGACCATGATTGTTGGGACAAATTAACATGTTGTTTATGAAATAGCTAGAAGATTGGTATGTATAACTCTTAAAAATTTCCACAATAAATAATATGAACTTTTGAAGGTTCTCTTTTCCACGTTTTCCTACAAAGTCCATTGCTGCGGTCCTGGGACTGTATAGGTCTTCAATAATATCTGCAGAAAATTATGGGAAGTATGGTTGACAAATAGATATATATCTCAGATTAGAATGAGAGTCAAAAACTAACTCACCATAACCCTTCCTTACATACTCATGTAGGTCTTCCTCCCAAAGGGCTTGATCATTGTCATTGAAGCACATAAGTGGAAAGATAATCTCAAACATAACAACATCAAGTCTTGGTTGGAGCAGATTGTACATCGTAGTCTTGGAACGAGTGATGGACAAAAGTTGATGATTTCAAAAGGAATATGATAAGAGGCGGGTCACTTAATTTTTGAAAGCCACCCAAAAACAATTAAATTAAAGAAACATCTGAATGATGTGCCTGACTACTCACCGGGTATAGAGGCGGGTCACTCAATTTCTTGGCCTCCCTATTAAACACCAACCATAATAAGGTATCATTTAATAATAAATATTATAGAAAAAGATTTACTATATTTGAAAATACCTACCTCCTATAAAAAGACACTGCCAGTTGTATTTTGAGCTACACTTCACCAATAAGATACAACATCTCACCTTCTTCCTTAACTACCCTTTCAGCAGCCTCTTTACTAACAACCAAAACCATCCCAATTCCCATATTAAAAGTCCTCTTCATTTCACCATCTTCAACCCTTCCAGCCTGAAAAGGGGCAAAACTGGAAACATCATTAGAAAAAAACAAATAACCAACTTTTTATTAGTGCTATAATGAACTTCCAAGCTCAAAAGTATACCATTTGTGAATAGGATCACATAATTTACAGAAGAAAGGTCTAAAATAAAGAAAAAGACATCTACTTAGGGACTCAACAAGACAAACAAACAATCTAAATTTAACAACAAGAATTAGTAAGAGAAAACACAGACTACAATAAATAGTAAATGGAATTACTAAGCGAAGTAAGTTTTCCCCAAATACACAGTATCATTAATGAAAAAAAAAACAAGATTTAAGAAGGTGAAGTGATTCGCTATTTACCTGATTGAATTTTGGAGAAGATCAAGATGAACACACAGATAACTGAGAGATAAGAGACTAGATGCAGTTTGTGCAGAAGTTTACAAAGAGATAATGTCAACACGTGTTCTTATTAAGAATTTTAATCGGGATGAAATCCTTTGTTGATTCCATGGCAAGAGGAAAAGGAAATGAAGATTTAACGGGTAGCAACATACAGCCGACCAAGCAAAACCAAGGCATCCACAACTCCCAGATGAAGACGATGACAAACCTGGGGGCGGTGGAGGCGCTGCTTAAGGCGGCGACTTAGGGTGTCCAACGGAAGGGTTTTTTACCGGCGGGAAGGTTTTTTGACTGACTTAGGGTGTCAACACGTGCACGCATAGAAACACGCTTCTTCCTTCCTTGTAGAATTCCTGATGGGATGTCACCATTAACGTCGTCACAATTATGCTCCGATGAGTCAACACCACTCCTTTTCTCAATTTGGTTGTACCGGAAGAATAAAGTATCGCGGCGACATCGGATTGAGAAACGGAGGGAGACAGAGCGACATGGTTACGCGATTTCTCTATCAAATCTGAGAAGTTTCCCAGATCAATTATCGGCAGATTGAAGCCGTTGACCTTAGAGAACGGTTGGTCAACCGTGATAATCAGCTTAGGTTTTGAATCGCGGATTTGGTTGGAGAGTTCCTTAACGGTGTATAGGGGATTAGCGGTGGTGGCGATGGTGCCAATGGATGTAACGGCGAGAAAGGCTACAGGTAAGAGGATGGGTTTTAGGTTAGAGAGATAGAAAGGATGACAAAGACCCCTATGCTTCTTTCTTGCTGATTGGAAGCGGATGGGGGTTTTAATTTTTCACATAGGCGGGGTTTTAACTTTTGGGGATTTCATTTCCCTCTCAAAACAGGTGTTTCATTAAAAAAATATAATGCGACACACTTATATGACACACATTTTATAATAGGTGTCCTTCGTATTTCTTTTTTGTTTTCCTTTTCTGACACTAATTTTAGGGCACGCACAAATGCGTGTCCTCTATCCTTCAAATTTTTTAAGAGATGACATTATTTTTTGGACGCACGCTTTTGCGTATCGTAAATCACTGCGTGTCATTGTTTGCGCGTCATTAAAGGCTGTTTTTCTAGTAGTGCAGTCTGAGTGCGGGGTTGTCAATCCCAATATAGATCTATACACACATTGTTTTGATCCCCGACTGGAGATTCTAGTTATAATTTCAGGACTTTAACTATGTTGTTTAAATGAATTAAACAACCTTAATCGATTGGCTCATAAAAAGCATATAGACGTTACATGTATAATAGTTATGAAAAAACCCCAATCATTCTGAAATGAATGATTGATAGTATGCCCCTGAATTAGTATAAGAAAGATGTATACTCTTGAGTAGTTTTGAATCAAACCCTTGTTCTTGTAAAACAGTGTACTTTAGTATACTTGAATCGTGAGTTAATGTTGCANATGCCCCTGAATTAGTATATGAAAGATGTATACTCTTGATTAGTTTTGAATCAAACCCTTGTTCTTGTACAATGTACTTTAGTATACTTGAATCGTGAGTTAATGTTGCATGAATCATAAATTATACCTATTATAATTTATATGTACTTTCTGAATTGATACTAACTGTTCATGAATGCAACCCCTTTCTCAACATGTTACAAAGGGTATTTGAACTGAATGAAATTACTTTTATATTTATATACATATACAAATATATATAACTAAAATTTAAATGACATTCGGACAAATAACCGATACTATAAGCCCACATCCAAACAAGGAAAAGGAACCAAAGTGGGTTATCAGTCCTAAGTCTTTTAAACCTTATATATATACATATATATATATATATATATATATATATATATATATATATATATGATTTCTGGGGAAAATATAAGTTTATGAAATCATTTAGAAGAAGTTTAATATTTTGAAATACTTTTGGTGACCTGATGTCATTTTAACACAATCTTTGAAATCATTTGATTTGATGATAACTTGAATCCATTTTGATAAGATATTTTGAAATCATTTGTTTATAACACAAAATCATTGTGTTAGACTTGTATTCCCCCCCCCCCCCCTTTA